CATAGTCCTTCGCTTACATCAATGTAAAAGCATTCTCTGCAAATTTTTTCTCAATATACTATTTTGGATGATAATGATTTAGCCTCACACGCCAATTATTATTAGGCAGGAATAGCCTCTAATTAGAACGCGAAGCACGTTGTATTAATTTTTCGTTTACATCGTTACGTATTGCTGGCGACGAGAACTGGTTTACTGCGTCATAGCAGAGATGATGCCCAGCCACAGTAGGCCCTTACAGGGGTTGCAAACAGCTGAGGCTCATCGGCTACATGCTCGAACACGTTCATAGATAAGATAGATGATAGATAGATAGCATAGAATAGATAGATAGATCAGATTAGTAGGTTAGATAGTCATAAATTAAGAAATAAGTGAGATAACGATGGATAGCCATAGATAGATAGCATAGATAGTTATGCAGATAAATAGATAGATAGATAGATAGATAGATACGATTAGATAGATAGATAGATAGATAGATAGATATGATTAAGATAGATAGAGGTAGATAGTATAGATAGATATGATAGATAGTAGATAGATGGATAAATAGATAGATAGATAGATAGATAGATGATAAGATTAGATAGATAGATTAGGATAGATAGATAGTAATAATAGATAGATAGATAGAAAATAGCAGAATAAAATATGATAGATGGATAGCATAGTCATAAGATATGATTAGATAAATAGATAGATAGAATAGCATAGATTGATAGATAGATAAATAGGATAGATAGATAGATAGATAGATAGCATAGTTTAAGATAGATAGATACGATAGATAGATGATGATGATAGCATAGTTATATAGAGATAGATTTAATAGATCGATAGCATAGATAAAATAGATAGATAGAATAAATAGATTAGATAGTTAGATGAGATAGATAAGTCATAGATAGATAGTATACTGATAGATAGATAGATAAGAAGACTAGTAGATAGCATAGATAGTTAGGTAGAAGATAGATAGATAGATAGGTATAGATAGATAGATAGATAGATAGATAGATATGATAGATACATAGTATGCGATAGATGATAGATAGGGATAAATATGATAGATAGATAGATAGATAAGATAGATAGATAGATAGATAGATAAGATAGATAGAGTAGATAAAGATAGCATAGATAGATAGCATAGATAGATAGATTAGATAGCCATAGATTAGATAGATAGATTAGCAGAGAATAGATAGATAGATAGGCTAGATAGATATGATAGATAAGTATATGTTAGGTAGATAGATAGATAGATAGATAGATAGATAGATAGATAGATAGATGGATAGATTAGATAGATAGATAAATAATAGATAGATAAATAAGATAGATAGTTAGATAGATAGATAGATAGATAGGATAGTATAGATAGATTAGCATAGATAGATAGATAGATAGATAGATCAGATAGATAGCATACGAATAGATAGATAGGATAGATAGATAGATAGCATAGATAGATAGATAATAGATACAGACATAGCTTCGCCTACATCATTTCCTACGCCTATCAATCATTTCTTTTTGGGCGGCGCAATTAACAAATGCCAATAAATGCACGCTAGCCTTTGCGCCGTGTATTGTTTCCGCCTTAAGCCCGTTCGACTAGCACATGCATAAGTACGATCACGTATAAAAGCGTGCAGAGAAGTGATCGAGTAGAGGGGGGTCTGGGTGTACTTGTAGCGGCAGCGCGCTACATTGATCGCGTCCTAATATAGAGCCGTGCGTGTATGATCGCGACATATGTGTTGAATAAACCTGCTCTGTATTGTACAAGACCGACAATCGTCTTTCGACCATCACTGTTCTTTATAATCAACTGACCGTTACCGACCGTTCAGAGATACGATGCAAGATAGCAGACGGCCTACATTTGGTGCCGGACACTCAAGAACTTAGTATTCTTTGCAACACAATACTTGCCAAGAAAAACCTACGATGTCTCGCCGCCGAAAAACTGAGTAAATATAACGATAAATACCGCAAAGATAACGATAATAGCGTAAGATAACGATAAATACGGAAGATAACGATAAATAACGTAAAGATAACGATAAATAACGATGAAAAAGAAGAATGAATGAAACGAAGTAAGAACAAAGAGGGAAAAAGCAAGATAGTTGCAATAGTGAACTATATTCTGCCGCACACGCGCTGCGACATGTGGCCCGCAGCACAGGACTGTTTGACATTCGGTACGCAGATATTTGGCCAGATGCCAAAAATGTCATGGAAATGGCATACGCAATAGATGATATGCAGCTCGCATAATAAGCGCATCTTATAGAGCCAGAACATGTCGCAAGTATACGACCTGGCTATGGAAGAAGCAGGGACGATCGCAGAACACGCGGTCACGATATCGATCGTAGAAAAAAAATTGCGCTACCTATATGCTTCATCACTTCTTCCTCCACACATAATAATACTTACTCCGCCGCTATCCCTCTCCCCAACCTCCTCAACATTCCTATTATTTTTACGTTTATTTTTATTTATTTATTTTACTTAGTTTATTTATCTTAGCTTACTTACTTACTTTTATCTTACTTACTATTACTACTACTATTACTTAACTACTTACTATTTACTTAACTTACCTTAACATTATTTATTTTATTTATTTTATTACGTTATTACGTTACGTTATTTTATTACGTGAGGTCATGAGCTGATTTACCCATAGAAAACGATGGCACGTGTGTTTTTAGTGAAAAGCGGTCAAACCCCATTACTCGACAGTGTGGTAACTGTTTGCCTCATAGCACGACGCAGTTTCGGGAATTGCGTCTGAGAAATGCCGCAAATTTTCGTGGAGAAGAACTTCAAGAACAAAATGTCGTACTCCACCTTTTAATGCATTGACAAGTAGCCTTAAACATGCGGGTCTCGAATTCAATTAAATCATCTGCACTAGAACTTATGAATTTTGCTATAAGCACATTGCACGCCGGCCCTGCCTTCTTGACTTCACGCGTCGTTCTACTCTCGAAGACGCCCGAATTCTTGAGCCAAGTTTTATGAAGCCTTGTATGCATCAACGATTTACAAATCCGTTGCAGGGATTAATACGCGAATATCTGCAATTAAAAGTTTTCGTCAAAATCAACTATGGAGAAATACGAACTTTAGGCAGACCGAACGTAATCCGTCTAGCGGAATAGCGGATTCCCCCACACCAAGTTTATCATGAATTAATGTCAAAAACGTCTACGCCCGCATATTTTTGGACGGGGCTCAACAGCGTAGCTGATACAGAAAGCTTTATTGTTACATGAAGTATGCCAAATTTACAGCGGACGCGATCGATATTAGCTTGAAACAATCAGTTTTTGGACCCGAGAAATTTTTATACGCAGCGGCGTCATTGCCACTACAGACCATACAATATATACCACCATTGGTTAGGTATTACCCTCTATTATGTACTAGACACTGATGAGACGTAAGTTGGCAGAAAGCAGAGACACTTTCCTCGGGAAACGTTCCACAGTTACCGTTCCATGCGCGAATTCGCCGACCGCCTACAGAACACAAGAGGAACTTCGCTTGTTGAATAGCCGACGTCATACGCAATCATCACGTCATAGTGACGAATCAAGTGATAAGCGTACCGTCAATCACGTGTTGATAGATCGCTCACAACCGCAACGCCGTGCTGGCGAGATTTCGAGTATCCGCGGGATATACACTTTACAGCAGTAATAGATATCGGCGATCGAGATGTACTTTTTAGATATAAAGCTGGTTTTGGCTAAAGACTGCCAGAGAGTGTTACAGAACTCGCCCGAATTTTTGTAGTGCAGTTTACACGACTTACAATACGTCACATTGGCAACGTGTAGAAGTTAAGGGTAAGCGTCACCATACCCATTAAATAGATTCCTTTACAATAGTATTTTCTTTTGCTAATATAGTAACCATCTTTACGTGGCGCGTCGTGCGCCTACGCACTGCCACGTGTAGTGTATAAAGCACGGGCGTTTACAGGTGCCAAACTACTTATTACTGCCGCTCTCGAAATAAGAGCTTAAGGTTGCCGTGTGAACAAGTATATACACAGCAAACAATGTGTTGATTGTATATCCTTGGTGTGAAGTAGTATTCAGGGGTTTCCACTCGTGACGTGATGACGGTAATAGTGAATAATATGATATGACATTATATATGATATATTCTCTCTTTGGAAATAACTGTCATTATTATAAACAGTACATGTATAGTAAAATGTTGTACTCACGGAAGCGTTATGACCCGTTTCACGACGCTCTTTTCCTTGCGAACATAACTTCGCATGAAGCCTTGCATACGCCTTATCGGACGCTTGCAGCGATGACCTAGCTCTCGCACCATTAAACATCACCATCAGAGTGTTTTCGTATTTGATGCTCTTCGCCGTCGAAAGTGTCCGTCCTAAAACACGTGATACACGTTGAGTATCCGTGTACGTGCTTCATCATTCTCCCGATATTCTAATTACAGGTATTATATGCAGGTCACATCGTGTAAATGCAATCAATCTTAATACGGTTGAAACTCACATGAGTGGATAACGCGTAAGTGTATGAATGCACGTGCTTTACCATTTCGTATATCTATAAATCAATTGTCGTTATTTTACCACGTTATATTTTCCTCTAGTAAAGCATCGTTGGATGGTAAGA